CTTTACAAGGAGAAAATTAGTGTTTTTAAATGTAAAAACTGTTTAAATAAATATTTGCTTGTTTTAAAAGTAAATAAAATACAAGTAAATCATTTTATAAATCTGAATAAATTATTTTCTAATATTAAAAGTATTTTTTTATGTTTCAAATTAGAGTTTCTTTTATTATCAGAAAAAAATTTATTTAAATTTTGTTTATTATCAGAAAAAAATTTATTTAAATTATTTATTTAAATTATTTATTTACAAAATTATTTATTTTACTTACTTTTAAAACATATAAATATTTTTTAAATATACTTTCTACATACTTCTTAAAACATATATTTTAAAAGAATCTATTCTCTTTTTTTAAATAAATCATATGCTTTCGTATATGGATATACCATATGTACATATAAAGCGTCTCTCAATCAAAGTGACAGTGACGCAGTAGGTAAGGTGAACGACACAAGAATCAGCCGAAGTGACAGACTCACATCAAAATGACGTAAAAAACTGGTCATAATTGGTCGAATAACATCAAGTGACTAAATAACGACGTCTTTAAAACGTCTTTTTTGTGACATCTTAATGGCGTTTCTGTATAACGTCTTAAAAACGTATTATTAACGTTTAGAGACGTCATAAAACGTCATTAAGTCGTCTAAAATGTCGTCATCGATCTGACATTAGACTATCATTTTGACGATATTCTCACGATATTTTTGATAATTCCTTGGTTATTTTTTATCCTGAACTTACTTAGATTTGAATGTCATTTTGACGTGTCTGCTACTTGGGAGAGGTCTCAGGCTCGAATCTCAGCAATGCCCATACAGCACAGAAGCTTGCAGCAACATTGCTACAACGTTGCAAGATTGTATATTGCAGTGCAATGTTGCAGAGACTTTGCAGTGACATTAATTTACAATATTACTTTAGCAATATTGCAGCAATATTTTAAAAAAATATTACGAATATAATATATTTTATTTATTTACTAATTATTTTTGTTACTTGTATTTCAAATTCAGTAATGTTTTACATCAATAATACTTATAGAATAGTATTTAGAATAGCACTCGTTAGTGGCAATCATTAATTTGTCTTATTGCATATTTTTTATACTTCTTATACCGTTTTTTCGGAGAAAATACTTTCTTTAGATTTAATATTCGTACTTGTTTAATTTTGTAATTTTTTTTATTTCATTAAAATATTATATTCTTAAACGAAATATTTTTTTAAATGATGAAAATAAAACTTTTATTTCGTTCAAGGAAACCATGTCATTTGATGAAACAACACTATTGTTTTAAATAATATTTTTTAAAAGTTTCTCTCAAAATCTAGTAATTCAATTTGTTTAATTTGGATTTTCTTGGATTTTAAAAATTTTTTTTTGTTGGATTAAACATTATAACATTTTGTTAAAAATGTAAAAGTAATTATCACTGGTTCACTACATTACATCAATATTCATCGCATATCGAATGTTGCATTGTTTCAATATCTAAATTTTTACTTGTTGTTTATCCAATAAACAACAAGTAAAAATTATATTACTATTATTTGGTGCTTGCTAGGTATGTTATAATATACTGTGAACACTGTAAGGATACATTATATAAGCATGAATTGTAAGAACATTGTTGGAGTCATCAGAGTCACCGCGTGCGCGCTCGATCGTCAGATTTAAGCAACAGTTTAATGCGGTCATGACATGGATGGGTGACTAGTGGTATATACCGCTTGGGATCGAAATTATCGGAGGAGGATTCATGAAAGTTTGGAATGTGTTTACAACCTTCGATATGTAGTTTGAGACATGAGAAAATTAGGAATATAAGTATATTTTTGTAAACATTATGATTTTCTCATTTTTCACCTTCGCATAATAATTCTCAGTATTTGATCACTATCAATATTTAACAATGATTTTATTATCAGTATTCACCAGAAATTAAGTACTGGTCAAAAAATTACTGAATTACTGGTAATATTTAATCACTAATAATTTTTCAGTATTTCTTAGTATGATATTTCAATAAGAGATATGCACAGGAATAAATACAGAGAATGTGTAAATAAATACAGTGAATAAATACAGTGAAAATTTACTTACATGTATGAAAAAGTACAGTGAAAATTTGCTCATTATGATATTATCCTAATTTAGGTATTTAGGGTTCTTGAACTTACATAACAAAATATAACACTTTTTTTATACTAATTCTTAATGTAGCCGGAAATTTATATAGCTTTTAAAAACGTGGGGTCGACGACTAATCTTTAAACCGAACACATTGATAATACATGTCGAACGTGACTGCGTTCCCTTATAGAAATATCATACTAAGAATCATTGATAATTACTTATTTTCAATATTAAAAATACTGGATAATAAGTAATTATCAATGATTCTTAGTATGATATTTCTATAAGGGTTGGTGAAATGATGCACATGCTCACGTGGATGTTGTACATTGGCCTGGTTTACATCATATACTTGATACGCGTACTAAATAGTAACTTTCTATTAGATAATCTTAATATTAACAATGCATATCAACGGCGACGTATTCAATCAATACAATACGTTTTCTTGATGAGTATTATACCAGCTTAATATACCATTGATTATATATATCGTCGATATTAAGATTATCTAATAAAGATTATCTAAGAAAGTTACTATTTAGTATGCGTATCAAGTGCACGATGTAAATCAAGCCATTGACTGCGTTCAACAAAAGACGCAACTGTGCCATAGTAAGATTCTTTAATATGATTGATTTATACTAATACGTATATCCAATGAGGAAGTAGAAACAAGACCAATCATATTAAAGAATCTTACAATTGCGAAATTGCTTTGACTGCGTTCGAAAACATCACCTAAGTACCCTTATGTATCATTTTATCCTTGTTTAATATTCAGTGAACAAGGATAAAATGGTATATGGGAATATTCGGGTAATGTTTCCGAACACATTTTTTTCACCAAATCAGTAAAAAACCTTAAAAAATCCCAAAATGGTGAAAAATCGCCAACAGTGTCAATCCTGCTGAATATTAATAAACTTGGCCAGCTGGAATGTTTGTTCTTCTTAATTTGAAGTTACACGTCGACCCCACGTCTATTGTATGCTAGAATTATACATATATTACGCAGTCTGCGACAAAACTATTTCGCAGATTCCGCTAAAAACTGCTGAAAAATGCGGAACGCTCGTGATTCGTTCCGCTCTCGTTCCGTGCTCCGCTATTCCACTACATGAGTTTGCACCTTGAGGATGCCATTACAGCAGTGTTGCCAGACATCGGGGAAGGAAGTGTAGTACCAACGTGAAGAAATAATAGTATATATGTCGTACCAACTTAACAGAATAGTAGTACAAATAGTCGTATCATGCATATTATATCAATTTTAACGTATTAAAAAAAAAAATTGTACATTAAATTGTATATTACATACTTTTAAGTTATGTATTTTTATATAGGTTATATATATAAGCACAATATTGTTTATAATTTATAATTTTTTATTTTTTATCAGGATTTTGTATTGTGTATGACACAATATTATTGCACTCATGCATATATCTTTAATAATTATAATAATATATATATATATATATATATAAAATCAATATACATAATGTATATTATTATAATATTGCAAGTATCTATGAATCCTCTCACATCTACTACAAATTATCATAAATTTCTAATCACATTAAACGAAACAATTCTCTAAATTCTCAACAGAATAAAATATTTAATTTTGAAACAATTTATCATTAAAAAAAAATTTCTGTTTCACTGTCCTCGTTTATTGCCTCTTCTTGTTTTTTTTTTCGTGGATATAAAACAATAGATGTCATCTTCTGTAACATTTCATTTGTTGGTTGAAATGTAATACAATTTTCCTCTCCGGATTGTTTCACGTACTCAGCTGCTAGTAATAATCCATTGACTGTTTCAATTTTCAATTTATTTCTGTATTTTGTCTTCATCATATTGATCTAGGGTGTATATCAGTTGGACACGGGGCAATTGGACACAGTCCAATCACAAGTCGCTGTTCCAAGGGACCCTACAAATGTCTCTAATTACACGGTGCTGTGATTGGCTGTGTCCAAATGCACCGTGTCCAAGTGCACCGCTCATATTGATCTATAATGTTCACATTTAGGTAGAATTAAATACAAAATTAATTACAAAATGATATTATTACTATGAAAAAATGCAATTAAAAAAATAATCATTATTATTTTATTTAAAGATATATACTTACTTGACTAAAAATTCGTTCACAATCTGCATTTGAATGTGGCAAACTCAGTATGTCAAGAGCAAATGTAGCCAATTTATGGAATTCAGATTTTCCAACAGCATTATTATAGTCTAAAATTTGGTTCCAAAATTTGTCAGTGCAAATATCTGGTTTTCCAACATCTTTAGGCAAAAGGGAAACTAAGAAAGAAAGACACCGCCATTGATTGTCTATTACTTGCATAATGTTATTATTTTGGCAACCCAAAATTCTTGGTACTACTTTCATTAAATTTATAAGTGTCGGAGTGGTATTCCGGTATGATAGAGATAAAGCATTTTTTGGACGTAATGCTCCAAGTTGGTTCAAAATGGGATCTTACATATAACGATTTGATATTTGTTGAGCTGATACCTAAAAACAAAAATTGACTATAAAAATTGAAGTAAATAGATATTTTATTTATTTATAAATATATAAGAACCTGTAGGAATTTTCTGCAACGCCAGTAAAACTCTTCTAATTCCCTTTGTTCAATGAGACCAGTAGCTTGATAAACTTTTAGGGTGTATATCAGTTGGACACGGGGCAATTGGACACAGTCCAATCACAAGTCGTTGTTCCAAGGGACCCTACAAATGTCTCTAATCACACGGTGCTGTGATTGGCTGTGTCCAAATGCACCGTGTCCAAGTGCACCGCTCCCAAACTTTTATACCCAAATACATTTGTGTATACGGGATGAATTCGTCTTCTTTGCAAGGGTTGATATCAGAGTGAAGTTTTTATAATATAATGTTTATTCATATAACATAGAAGAATTTCCTTGTAAAGATTTATTATTTTATCGTGAAGTTCAGTGACGACTACCGCGTTACTTTGAAAGAAACGATTAAAGTCCGTAAACTTTGGTAGAATCCATTCAAGAAAAAAAAAATATAATTTTGTTAAAGGATTATTAAGCTCTTTAAAAATTTGTTCTGTAACTTGTAACCGTTCAATTAACCATCTATCTGTAAAAAACAATTTTAAAGCTTCCCATTGTTCAATAATTCTCTCTACGACCATTACTAAGGAAAGCCAACGTGTTTGAGATGGATGTAACATTTTATGTGGGGTTACATTGACAAATTCTTGAAATTCTTGAAGTTAACATTGCCTTTTTGAACTTGATTTAAAGAAATTATAAATATTTCTTGCTAAATCTTCGACTAATCTTGGAAGATTTTTGCACGCTTCATTTGCGCATAAATGAGCAGAGTGACATACACATTTTAAAACAAATATATCAGGACACTCTTTTTTAAGCTTACTAGCTACAGAATTATGTTTGCCCATCATTGCACTGCATCCATCTGCAGCAAAACCAATCAAATTCGAAAGAGGTATCGAATTATCTTTAAAAGATTTGATTATTCCTTTAAAT